TTTCTGGTTTCAGCAGAAGCATCTGAGGGGAGGTACCCTAGGGGAGGGGTGAGTGTTCCATTATTGTGTTAGCGTTCACAACCTAGCTTGCTCTGTAGATTTGCTGTAGCAGCTTTGAAGGAATGCATTTCTGTTCGTTGACTTTACCATAGCAGATTCAAACTAAAATCATCTTATATCAAAAAATGATAGAATTTTGGGTTAAATTTGGTCACATGTAAAACGAATGTCATGAAATGTTTCCCAGATTATTTTTTAATGTTGTGTTGAGAATGGTTCTCAACTAGTAACACATACAATTTTAACTCTATATCTGTAAAATCAATTGAGTCATGAATGTTTTTGTTTCTGCTGAGGAGAGCAGTGGTGGACTGACTCCAATCTTTAGTTTGATGATGCACATCCCATAAATCCTTTCTGATCGTTTCATTAAAACCTCTCCAGAGATTTATGAAAGATGTTGCTGACGCTACGTATAATCAAACACTGAAACATCATCTTCCACTATTCTAGTATTTTGAGCTCATTTTTAGAGAAAAGCACAGTAATAATGCAAAAAACCTCTAGAAAACTGCATCAGCAAGAACTGAACTGTCTGCATTCTTGCACAAACATGCATGTAAGTCTCCACACACACCCAACTCCAGCTTGCGTGTCTTTCAGAAATTTCTGCATCATGTCTCCTTGTTCTAATCTAAATGACCACTCCAGGTTGTTAATCAGATGGGGGGGGAACGTAAACATAGTGGCACGAACGGATAGATTAACAGGCCAGTTTGACACGAGCCACTGATTGCGTCTGCTAAAGCAGTCGGAGTGATGTAGTGCAGGTTAACGGGTTAACTGATAAACTCCACCAGGAGGAGCAATGCCTCTGGGATGAGCAATCGCTTTACAGCTCCCAACAAATTCTTAACTTCCCACTCACATTCTTACTCATGTTTGCCGATGTCGATCACGTCCTGCTTGTCAGATGGTGCTACTGAAGCACAGAGGAACCTGTTAGTACTCCGGGTCAGCTCACACCTCTGCTCCTTTGAAATACAAAACCGGGACTAAGCAACAAACAAGCAGGGCGTTGATTTGAAGAGTGTCAAAATAAAGCAGCCATGATGAAAATTAACAAGCTAAGAAAAAAACATCAAAGCGTTGCAAAAACAAGACTCTCTGTGGGATTCAGTTTCAATTCTCAGACGAGGATGTTTGACTGTTTCAAGCATTTGGTCCCAATTAAACTCATTTAGGCTTTGGTTTCTGTCTTCTGGTTGGATATTTATTTGTCAAATTGGTTGAGTAATTATCGTCAAAGTCTTTATTGATTACAAAACTCCAGAGTTGCAGAAAGAAGCCCTCGGAGTGGAGGGAAGCGATGGTTAAACCTCACCATCCTCATTAAGTAAAAAATAGAGAAGCATGTCTAAACTTCTTGCACAGATAAAGTGGTACAGAATGCATGCACACCTCGAGTTTGTGCAACTACATTTGAGTTTAACAGAATAGGATTGCATCAGAGCTCTGCTACCCTTAATTGCATTTCCATGAATCCACACTTGTTTTACCTTCAGCGCTGAAAGAAATGCCTGTGACCTTTCTGTAGATGCATAAATCGTTAAGAAAAACACAGCAGTTAAATACATGTTGAAGACAGATGTTTAGTCTATTGCTACACCTATTTTTATTTTGTCTGCCAACAGTAATTAAACAGAGTATGAGACAAAAAGTCAAAACCAAGACAAGACTACACCAAAAATGGCGATTTTGCAGACGTTTTATTTAGACCTTAAATCTGTGACATAACTAGTTATGTCTTTGCAAAGCACGATGGATGACAACACACACAGATAAGAAATTAATTTAGCTTTTAATAAAGTTTGTCAACAGTCACTGTGTGTAAAGATGCATAATACAAATGCATTTACAACCACATTACATCTCCCTCACCTGTGGTTTACATGATGTTTATCGCTGCTGACTGATGTGAGTACAAATGAGACCAGATGGTCACTTCCTCGTATCACTCCAGAGGTGAAACCCATTCCTGTTCTTCACCATCTGTGACAGGCGTACGCTGGTCTGGGCTGGGTTTCTCATTACAATCTAAAAAATAGGATCCAAAAACCTATCACAGGAAGGAAGGGAACTAAAATAGGGGCAGGGCTCGGATGACTCATAGTGGAGTTATAAGTGGCAAGGGGGAAGAATGAACTATGGTTTGGTGGCACACGCACTCAAGCGAGACACACACTTATTTACAGCCTCACCACAGGGTCTGTGGCGCTTCTGTGGGATGCTGGGAAATAATGGCCTGTAGCAGAGTGTGTGCAGTTTTTCTGCTTATCTACAAGAAATGGTTTCACCCCTAACATGGCTTTCCTGTTAAAACCCGCCTGACTGTTTTCCTATCTATTCTCTCCTTTGAGGCTCATAAGCTGTCTCCATCTCTCTGCATGGAATCACACACAAAGAAACATGAGCATCGATCTGTGGACTGTAAAAATAGGACAAATGTGTGTGTGTGTGTGTGTGTGTGTGTGTGTGTGTGTGTGTGTGTAGCTTCTAATGTAATCAATGATCTCAAGGAAGCAAGTGCTGCTTCCTGTCTTTTAATACTACCGTGAAATTAGTGTATATGTCGTGTGTGTGTGTGTGTGTGTGTGTGTGTGTGTGTGTGTGTGTGTGTGTGTGTGTGTGTGTGTGTGTGTGCCAGTCTTAACTGGCCATATGACAGCCACCTGTGTAAACCGTTGGAGTATATCATGGCTCTGAAACACAGGATCCTCAGAATGCTGCTCTTGTTGCCGTGGGAAACCTGAGATGTGACCTCCCTTTAACAGGGAAGTGCACAGCAGGTGGTGAGTAGCAGACCTGAAGTATGCTATACACTTGGTTTTCATGTGTATTCACACGGTTTAAAATATCACTCTTTAAGCCTTTTTTATTTCCTTGTATTTTCACTCTCATGATTCCTGCAGCCTAGTGCACGAAAAGCCCTTCTTTGGCCATGAAAACAGAGTTTGAGCGCGCATTAGAGGGCAGGGAAGGCTAGCTTTTCTGTCTCTGAGGGTCAAACAAGAGGTGAGAAAGGCCTCTGTTGAACAGAGGTGGATATTGACACAGCATTAGCATGAATGAAAATATTTTCTGTGTTCAGTCGGCATGAAAGGAATGCTGCCAGACATTTAGACGTGCCTTATTCAAACAAACGCAAGGCACCAACACTCCATCAAACTCAACTTCCTGAAAACTCCAAGCGGAGGTAGAGATGTGGCAACATGAAGGGAAAACCTGACCGTGGATGTCTGTGAAATAAACAGAGCACAGATTTTGCAGAGTGAAAATATCCGCAGTGCACAACACAGTGAATAGAAAGCATTGGTGGAATCCCAGGGACACATGTAAGAACAGAATTTTAATAGAGGTGGTAAGGAAGTGAGTGTGTGGCTGCTGCTGGTTGTTGATGTGTGGGAGTGCTGCACAGGAGGGTCCTTGGTGCAAGCTACAAGGAAAATAGTAAGAAATGAGTAGAAGCACAAATAAGCTGTTATTGTTTCTGGTCCATGGCATATTTCTGACTGATTGCTGCTGGTAAATTCAAACAGAGCTACTCCACATGCAGCCACCCAGAGGAGCGAAGTTCCGGAATGGGATGGGGTGAATGGGGTGAAATGAGGAGAACGACTCAGAGAAAAGAACATGGCACCCGCTGGTTTTGGTGCATTAACCACTTTAAATGGCTATTAATCTGAAGCATTGGAAATGAGAATCTGTCGGAGGAGCTTTTAGTGTGGAAATATGTTCTTACATTAGAGCCTTGGATGAGACTGATGAAGCTGTGCATCACAATAGCATCAGCTCCACGGATGCTGAACAGTTGTAACAACAGATGAGCTTCTATAATTACACCAGGCAGTAGAATAACAGATATAGTGTTTATCTCAAGACCTCCACTCACACAGAGTCCTTCGTTTCGGGTAGAGAACAGGTGCAGTGTGGGAGTTGCAGTCAGTCATCAGATCCCAGGGTGGTGCAGGGCTGTTAGGGTGTGAGTGCAGCTGCTACTGCCCAATGCAATCATTTACAATTCCATATCGTCACACGGGTCTCGTCACAAGTGAGCCATACCAAGTGTAATTGATTTCCACTACGTGTGCATTTTTTGCTCACTTTTTCATTTCTGGCTTTTTAATTGAATCACATTTTTATGGGAAATCAGAGCGAAGGAATTTGGTGAAGCCACTAGATAATTCACGTATTTGTATTAAAATGGTGCATAAAGATCTAGAGCATAAAAAAATGCAACTTTAACCAGATATTTTATTTTGTCGTTGCAGAATGGCTGTACACTTCAGCTTGGATCAGCGTGGATTAATGTTGATGTGACACAGACGAGGAAATGAAACAGAGAGAAAAAAAAAACAGATGTTCTCCAGAGAGATGTATGGGAGACAGGCGTTGTTTGGCTCATTCAAGTGATCATTTTGGATATTTTCTTGCGGATTGTAATACATCTGCAACCTCAAGTTACATTCTGCACATTTTTTATGTCCCCTGACACAATTTAAAACTGCATTTAAGCTTCTCAGTCTGTGCACATCATAAATGTTGCAGGGAAAAAAAGTTTTAAAAAACAGAAAACTCAGTGGAAGACAATGAAAAATGGGAAAACACGTGGTGTTAGGAGTCAAAGAGAGAGCAGGATACACCAGAACAAAGTAATAACTAGGTCTTAGAGGAGTGACATGTAAACAGAGGGGGAGAATAATTGGGTAGGGTGAGAAAAAAAAACTTTGATGAAAGAAATCTTGGGCATGAAAATCCATGGTAACAGTGATAATAACTAGCCTCATGGAAACAAGCACAAAACAGGAATAATTGAAAATGAAAGAAGTGCCAGTTAGCCTTGGCTGAGGTCCATGTTGGTGCGGCAGGAGCTGGAGGGAGAGAAAAAAAGGTAGTGATGGAAGAGAGCGGTGGAAGAAAGGAAGAGCAGGGGGTGGTCTGAGTGACACAAGAGGCAACATTTTTATTTTTTTAAGAGAGCGTCTGACAAGGAGACACGGCACACGGCCACCCTGGAGGGGACAAGAGATCTCAAGACAGTCCCGAGGCAGATGCAGGACATTTTTATTCTTTCATAAACTCCTCTTATTACCATTTCCTCTTCTGGGCTGTTGAACTCCTTTTCACCACACTGACCTCAGATCAGATCAAGAGCTGTGACAGAAACCACCTGACAGGGGCTTGAGCTGAGACTTGGATCCTCCCAGATTGCTTGAGCGTGAGCAGAGTTAGTAGGTAAAGCTTCACTTTTTACGCGAGTGCTGGGAGACTGCACGCCAGGCACGAGGCTCCCAGCTCCCCCCACCTACACCACCCTTCTTCCACTCTGATTTTTTCCTGGGCTCTTGTCCAGAGAATGACTGGCTTCAGTGGACCCAGGAGGAGGATCAGAGACTGAAGACACAGTAAAGCAGCTCCAGCTCTGCCTGCCTGCTGGGGCAGACAAAGGGTTTACAAATCAACAGCTCCCACACCTCTATTGGATTCTTCAACTTGATGCTTTGAAGTCATTCTTCAGCTTTTACTTTCCTGTTCTCTAAATCAGAAAAATAGTGGATCTGAGCTTTACAGACAAACAGACGGACTGGCATATGGACAGAGAGCAGTGAGCACTGCAGCGTGAATGTAGCAACTGGACTTCTCTTCTCCCTGGTTACTAAGACTAAACAAGGATAATAGCCAAATCACTATTTTTTCCACTAAGGTGGTGGGTGGATGCAGCTTTCAGCAGATTGCTATAGGGGAAAGCAGTTCCTGCAGAGACTGCAGATATACGTCTAGTTGGTCGACACCGTGTAGATCCTAAGAAAACAGACTGGGTAGACTATATGGATGCTTGCAGGAAGTAAACTCAAAGACCTGTGGATTTTTTTATTCAGACACTTTGATGCTCACCTTGAATGGACTTAACGTGGTTTTGAACTTGAATACAAAATGCTTTTGTCAGTGAGGATGGAAGGATGGAAAAAGACTGTGAATGTGTCAGTCATGCTGCTGATTCTCACGCGGTTTGGCATTGCTCACACAGGAGACAGCATCTACCCAAGGATAAGACTCTCGCACAAAGGTAAACAATAAATATTTAAAAACTACACTTTTCTTTTTTATTTTAACTCATTAGTATTTGTAAGGCACACCTTCACCTTTTCCTGCTGTAGAATTGTGAGAAATAAAGTCTCTAGAGGTGTAATAAGTTCGAATTGTTGTATTCTTTCTTTCTTTACTTAGAATGATTCAGATTCTGGTTTCTTTTGACTCATCCAAACAGAAGATGTAAGTAAAATATCTCTTTATTCTAAATTCATACTAAATTATGCAGCTTTTAGAATTGTTCTTCAGTCTTTCTCTTTCAAACAAAAGTAGAGCTAACACTTTACAAAAGGGTCCATTTATCAACATGAATTAGTGCATTATTAAGCATTAACAAACTATTAACAACTGCTTAATCATACTATGTAATGCATTACTAAGCAAACACCCCACTGACCATTTTGTCTAACCACTCAATAGTTAACAATAAAGTTAATACAGTGACCCTTTCTTTATTAATGCTTAATAATGCAATAAATAATGTTAATAAAGGGGCCCTTATTGTCAAGTGCTACTGAAGTAGAAGCAGCAGTAATGCTGATCGTAAACCAGATGGGTCAAAGGAAGCTGTATCTATTTCATTGCTGTGTATGATGATATGGTCATTGATGATTTATGATCTGCAGGAGGCAGATCTGAGAGGAGCGACTCCTGTTTAGCTGTGTTTCGCCCGCAGCTGATGCTCCAGGAGCCTCCGTGCTGTTTGTTTTGGTCTCTCAGCTACGAAGGCTGAAAATCCACAATGTGGCTTTCTCCCATGCCGTTGCGGCTGAGCCATGGATTATATTTTATTCATAGTTTCTCTGTTTTGACATCAGAATGTGTCTGAGAGAAGCCTTTGTGTGATTTTAGCAGTTTATTTGTGTGAGGTGGATGTGCACGCATCGGTATGTGGAGTGATTACTGTGTATCTCCCTGACAATAATGAGCTTTTTTTTTATCTTTCAAGAAAAGAAAAACAAAACTCTTGTGTAAACATGGCATTTTTCTCAGTTTCTTTGATCTCTTTGACAACAGGAGGAGATGATTCCACATAAGCCTGTTAGTCATGGTTGGAAATAGGTGTGGAATTTGAACGGTCAGTTACTCATAAACGCGTTGTTGGAGCATTTTAATGAGAGTTGCCAAGACTTGTCAATCAGCAGGAAGGTTTTTAATGAGAAATATGACGAACGTTTGGGGTCTTGTTCAACATGATGGAAGAATTACAGAATCAGCTGAGGATTAGCTCATCAGGAACAGCCAGAGAAAAACATTTTCAACAAAAGAGGTCAGATAGCTGCTGACAAGCTTCATCATTGATGCCACGTCGCTATCAGGTGTGGTTGTTACCTTCATATATCACTCAGTTTATTAACTACCTGCAGGCCGAGCCACCAAAGTGACTGACACCCCTTCCCTCGTCTCCGTCTCCCTTTCTCGGATTCGTGTCCTGGCTAGCACGGAGCGCCGTGGAAAAGGCTGCAGTTGGATCCCATCATTATGGAATGATAAACATCTAACTCCTAATACATGCCTTATGGGCTCCGCCAGTTCTATTTGCACACACACCCTCCAGTTCACACAAACCCATCTAGAGACAGACATAGATTGAATTGTGTGAATTTTTTCTTTCACACAAAGAAGTTGGAAGCAGTTCTGTCAGATGAAGAGGGAAGTGGTTTTAAATCGTGAAATGTGAAACGACTGCCGTGACATCTGGTATCAGCAACGTGGAAGGAGACTAATCGGGTCTTTGTCGGAATGAATGGCATTGGAAGTGAAAATGTTAATTATATCTGCAATGAAACATTTTGAACTTGCTTCTGGTCAGGAGGGTAAATTTAGAGCGGGATCAATAGTAGGCTCAATAAAATATGAGGTCATCCTGAAGTGAGCTCCTTTTTATTTGTCTCCAGATGACCTTACTGTGGATCTCTGCCTGCTTTCATGTTGGTCCTTTGCACATGTTTTCAAACGTGTTTCTCTTTTCTTGGACTTACTTTCACCTATTTCATCTATTTTCTGTCTAGACTTCTGGAACAGTGAAGATTATTTCAAATGCATTTAAAGCACCTCCAGCTCAGTCATCCTTTCATTTGCCCACACACCCAGTTAACTCCGGGCTGTTACCTTAATCATGTGGAGTGTTGAGTTACGACCGCTGAAACCATGCTGTCTTTAGAAATAATTGACCTTAAGCTTTAGCAGCACGGAATCGAAAGATCTTAAAAGCGTGTCTAAAGGTGTGAAAACACTTGGATGTTCAGCTAATCAAACTCCTTAAACCAGTGGGTTTTTTGTGTTTAAAAATCCCCTTTTAGGTTAGAAACACGCATTATAACAAATACCAGGAGGTGTTATTTTGTTTGTATTACTTTTTTACCTTCAAACGCAGCGTTGTGTAATTTAACTCTCTCAGGCTCAAAATAAGTTTTGATAAAAGGACGAACAACTAAGTCCTTCAGGGGTACTTCTGAGTTAAAAAATGCTCATGAAATACGTATGTGGAGTAACCTGGTAGGTAGGTTTTAACGTTTCAAATCTGCAACGCCTGCCTCCACAGGGGCGTGTCCAGGGAGTGGCCTGGGGTAGCACATGCCACCCTTGGAATCTGATTGGCCACCCCAGGTGCCACCACACCTTTAAATAGGCATTCCATTGTCCACAAAAGGCTTGGGGTAAAACAAAAAAAAAAGCATAACTATTGGTGCCACCCATGCACAAAGTTGTGCCTCACCTGGGCCACCCCATTTTAAAAAATCTGGACACGCCACTGTGCCTCCAGAGGGTTAAACTTGCAACAATAGGTCTCCTGGCAGCGTGTTTCAGATCAGCTGGCCTGCAGAGAGACATGAGATCTATCTTTCTGGTGACCACCAGTTTTGCAGCTAACGAAGCTTCTGCACAGCTAGTGTCTGTCATGTTGTCAGCAGGCAGCAGGTAGGTGGTCAGGCTTGGATTTATTTTGCTGTCTCCTCTGTCATAACGCCTGGCTAAAGCTGCTTAGTGCCATGCAGCAGTTTTCATTATGGGGTGACCTAAACCTGACCCACAAGTCACAAAAACACACATCTTCATGGTTCATCTTCACTAAGTGATTTCGTAAAAGAGCGTGAACGCCCCCCAAAAATGTCTTATTTATCAGATAAAAAGTTTAATCAAATTCTCGAAAACTACAATGAGAAACTCCATGACATCATTTTTAAGCAACAAATTGATTTAATTTTGTTAAATTGATGACATCATGAATGCTTCTCTCCCAGCTGCCTGCCCAGGACGTTCTAACCCCAACGTTGAAAGCATTTAGTTACACAAATATTTTACTTCAGCACGTCGACGACGGAGGTGAAGAAAATTACACCGTGAAGCTAGGCACTTCTGGCGGGCTTGACATCATACTGTGTATGCTCGCTTATATTAATAAATACATGTGCTTTCTATATTTCCATCCTATTAGAAACTTAAACAAAAGTGGATTAGATTACCTGAGAACTAAATCTATTCAGAAATGCAGTGCAGGTTTTCAAATATGTCAGCTATACTTCTAAAACAGCCAAATTGAGAGTAGATCTGTAAGAACACTAGTAAAAAAGTGATATTCTTCTCTTTACTCTGTAAAAAACACGAGAGTTGGGCAAAAGGCACTTGAGTGCATAAACACAGACATTACTCAGGTGGCAATTACTGATGTATGAAGCCTTCCTTTGAACTGCAATTTTAGAGCTTTTCCTTGCAGACAATGGCACATTTTTACATTGAGGTGAAGCTTTGAGAAACGTTTGTCTTCAGAGCCGAAAAAGGGGAAAACTAGCACAAGTTAAAGTACAGTAGTAAAAAAAAATATATATATAAATAAATACAAAATTATTTCTTCTACTTAAATCTAAAGAGTCAAATGAGGAATCCCATGAACTTTCTTTCATCTGTGTGTGCACCGACCTATAATTAAATGTAACAGTGGATCACAGGATACAACAGACCTTGTGGTGTCACTTTAGGAAAATGGTGCATACAGGTGGTAGTTAGGCAGATCACACCTTTTGGATACTGAAGGAGAAGTGGTATTTTCACAGACGTCCTCTTCTGCGTTCACACTCATTTTTGTGTCTTGCTTTCTTTTGTATGGTTGTAGGTCGGTGTCATCGTTTTTCATGTTGTGTAACGTGTGCCCTCTGCAGTTCATTAGTGAGATGTCCAGAGGGGAAGGCAGCTGGTGGAACTCTAATATCCGTTTTGACCTTTTATTATTGAAGATACCAGCGAGAAAAGATGAGTTAAGATTTAAGCACAGAAATAAAGGTGGTTGGGCGCTATTCAGCAGTTTTTTTTAACTGCACAGAAAATGAAAGCATGGGGGAAATGAGTAAGTGTGCCAAGGTAGAAAAATGAATCATTGTTACTGAACTGAAGAGACTAGCTGTGATATTTTAAGAGATATGTCAGGTTACATGGAAATAGGACATGCAAACAGGAAGGCACTTGTTTATTACAATTACAAAGTGCAGTTTACCGGCCCTTTCACTATAGTTAAATTTGTCAGCACAAACCTAAATGGAATTAAATTTTGATTGGATTGCGTACAATTTGCAAAGCTTTTTTTGAAAGCGACGTGTAACGTAATAGCGGAATTTTACCCGCGAGCTCCCGTCCAACCAGGAGTGATTCAGACATGAAATGGAACAAAAGTATTCCTGCACTGGTCCCGCACAGTCAGAAAATCACAAGATTTCAGAAGTCAACACCTTAACAAGCAAGGAGAAAGACAGCTTCATGTATCCACAAACTTTATTTTCCGTTCTTTTACGACGTCTCCAGTGGTTTCACAGGAAATGATGTACATTTATCTGCTTGTGACTTTTATTATGAAAGTTTTCTGCAGTTTTACACTGCTTTCCTGTTTGACTTCCTTTCTGACCTGATCTAATCTTCAGATTTTGACATGCTTTGGAAGTGTAGCACATAAAAAAGACTTGAAACCATATTCATATAAAAGTACTTTAACCTTAATGACAGCGTCCCTTCCCTTCTGGTACTTGTCAAAAATGTTAGACTTTGCTTCTAGTGGAAAGTGTTGACTATAATGGCGGCTAATTGCCATGTAGTACGTTTTGCGGCCATTTCGCGACACTTCGACGTCTGCTGGAAAGTGTGAATGCATTCTAGAGTTTCTGCTCATTGACTTTAATGTGACTCTCTCAAAA